CTTGGAAAAAGAAGTTAATTATCCAAGGTCTAGAAATGCGTAACGTCCGAGTGTTCCTCGCATCAACAGTAGCACAGTTCTTCGCTTAATAGTCAGGGAAGCAGTAGAAAGATGATACTACTTTTGACTTTGCTAAGTAATGAGTATGTTACTTCAAGGATGTCAAGGGAAATAACCTTACATGACTGACCATGGAATAATTTAATATAATTAAACAAAGGATAAACAAAACTAGGTCTGTAACTAAAACTTACTAGTCTAAAATGACAAGCTTTAATAATTAAGAGAATAATTGAATGAAATAAATCAAACTATGGAAGGGATTTCAGGATGTGAATGTGAAAGAGGTCTTAATTCAGGTCAAAAGGGGATGAAACCATTTGATGGTGGTTAAAGGTGGAAGCATGGGAATGAATGCGTGCAGGAATAGGCTTCAGAGCTAATTGGTTAAATAACCATCTCAAGCAAGATATTATGAATATGCAGAGTGTCAAAAAGTAATAGAAAAAAAGACTGATCCGTAAAAAAGTTATGTCTTAGAAGTTAGGAAATACAATGTAAAATAAGAATTGTTAAAATCAGTTTGAAATAGCCTTAATGAAGACATTAAAACACAGAGCAAAAAGTTTTGCATGTGTGTTCAAAAAGACAAGAAGGAAAGCAGCAGGACCTCTGTACCGTTAAGCTGGGATAACGATTAGAAACAACAGGCGGATGATGATTTTGGCCATGATGGCAAAGGCAGTACATCTTGCTACACTACTGCAGTGTCTGTCGCCATTTTTAAACAAGAAAAATGAAGCACAGTGAATCTACTTAGACTCCCATGCAGCTTTTGATGTGATGTTACGTGGAAAAGTATGAACTAAGCTGGAGATGATGGAATTGGCAGAGGAAACATGAGGTGAACGAGAAACTGAATAAAGGTTAGATAGTCATACATCATACTGAAAAGGAATAGTATCAGGTTAAAAGTAAGTCACTAACGGTGACTTCCTGAAAGATCCATCTTGGGGCTGATTTTACTCAGTGTTTTTATCAATATCCTTGACATCACTCTGATGACAACATGCAGTCAGGAGACATCAGACAGGGGGGAAAAAACTGACCAGAACATGAGCAACAGGCATGCAAAGTGGACCAGTAAAAACAATAAAACGCTCCAGAACTCTCACTTTGTAGCCAGTTGTTTGGAAACCATTGAGGAAAAACTGAGGAAAAACAGCTGATCACAAAATGGGAAGAAACCACTTTTGCGAGGAAAATGCTAACATGATCCTGGGACGTACCAGGAAAGTTCCAGGAGAGATAATGAAGCCAGTAAATTCTGCAAAGCATCAGCAAGGTGTCACCTGGAGTATTTTGTACAAGTCACATTCAGGGTGAAGTCAGACTTGAATCCATACGCGGAAAGTCTATAAAAGTGGTAAGAGAAATGAAAAGAATGTCTTATGACAGGAAACTGTTAAGAGCACATCTTATTTAGTCAGGCAAAACAAAGGCTGATGAGAGCCTGCCTTTGTCTACAAATCCGTCAGGCAAAAACTATGAAAAGAACCGCTTAAGCTTACATACTTGCTAGAAGAGTAAGTGAGTATAAAACCTATCACCACCGCATTTAGGCTGGGAATTACAAGGTTGCTAATAATTAGAGCACTAATTGTTATAATAGCTTTTCATCAGAAATACTGATGGCAAGAAACCTAGCTACTTTCAGGAAGATACCTGCTCAGTTTATGATGTGGTTGCCTGCTGGGCTACATAGGTAAAGAGATTTCTTCCAGGCCTCTTTCAGCAGTTCTGTCCTTGCAGCGATTGCGGTCGCTCCACTTCCTCAGATGCACCCACACAGGAGTATTCACGGGTCCAGCACAGGCCTACATCTCTGCCGGGACGCGGAGGGCCAGACACAGCTGTGAACTGTTTGAGAAGTCTACGGTGGAGACCTCCGAGGGCTGACAGGCAGCTAGGAAGTTACGGGTTAAGCATGGCTGTATGAGAGGAACGGCACTGAATTCCAAATGGGATAGAGCCATACAGCTTAGTTAGTGTAAACAAATGGTTATGATTCCTGTCAAGAACAATTTTTCATCTCCACAAAGCCTAGTTTAATAACATGGCACAGGCACCACTGAAAACAGGAATATTACCTTTCCAACAATTTCCCAACATTGAAATAGAATCTGTTTTGGCAAAAACAGTACAGCTGCCTACCAAGAGAAACATTTTAGGTAGTTATATAAGCAATAAATGTTTTATAAAATTCACCCAGAAGGACTTATAAGTATTAAAAAAAACCCAACAATAATTAACCAGATTTCGTAAAGTATGAAACAGCCAAAAATAACAACCAGTACAGCTGAAGATGGTGAAGTCATTTCTTCTCCTGCACTCCAAAGCCCGACCACCTGTAGAGATTAAAAAATGTACCCAAAGAATTAGTTTTCCTAATATGGACACAGTGCAAAATTCTGTCACTTAACGTGACTTCATTTTACCAAATTAATGGAATTTTATGCAAACTTAGTATGTTTTACAAGTACTTGTTCCTGATTCGTACTGATTTGTGCATACTGATTTTTTCCTGATGATTTTGCAGAAGCAAATCATTGGGAAGACGGATGAAATGAGGGAGTATCTACTGGGTTTCCTTTTGCATTAAAAAAATGGTACTGTCTCCAGCCAGGGTCCTGCTCACTACTGCCCCCTGAAGCAGCCTATCTTGCCGCTCTGATGATGGAGGTAATTTAGGAAGAGCAGACATTGTTAACCTGTGTCAGAACCTGCCAGTCTGACACAAAAGTGATAATCCTACTCTGCATCAGCCACGGGATTTCCAGTAAAGGAAACCATTAGTATCTTCTCACAGGCTAAGATCTCGTTTAGTCTATATGCAGACACCATGCTGAAAGACAGAATAACTTCCTGTCAGACCAGGGTCAGGAAAGAGCATGGCAAGGACATAGATTAGGAGGCAACAATGGTTAATTTTGTCGGCGAAATGAAGGTTGAGATGGGTTATGACAATGCTTCACATAATAATTATATTATTATTATAATTATTGTTATTCATATAATAATTCGAATAAATTCAAAGAAAATAACTTTTTAAACTAAAAGGTAACACTAGTACAAGATCAGGTCCATGAATAAATTTACTCTGGAAACTGAAGTTTTCTGAACCTCTGAGTTTCTAGAATTGCTTTACATGCTAGACGGTGGAGCAAGGAACCTGAAGTGTTTTAAGGTAAAGCTCAATGTTTTCATTTCTGTGATCCTTGAGTTAAAATCTCCTCTTTGGATCTCTGATTATTATTCTCTGGATATCTGATTGCATTGACTTATCTCAAAAGACCGGACATAAAGGACACCTGCTTACTACTGGTTGATCACAATTCTTTGCAGGTACTTCTGGTATATTAATTATGATTCTCCATAATTTCTGTTGGCTACTTGAAAAGGCATTGGCTTTGAGGCTAAAGAGTAGCATGTTGATTTTACTTGGAAACGTTGAAGGTGGGCCTTACAGCTAAAGGCAGCTGGAAGGCAGGATGCACTAATACTGAATTTTCAGCTAAGTCTTCCAGATACCTGGCTGGTGAGCTGGTGTCCAGCACTTGGGTCAGTAACACCAGTCACCACATCTGCAGTGGGCATGACGTTGTCCCCCGCTCTAAGAGTCACGGAGATTCAGCGTTTGCTGATCTTTTTTTTGTCGGTAGTGTGCAGGCATAGTCCTTTCTCTAAGAATTTACCCGAACAAATTTCTTGTTACCGCAAGGACCAAGTATATTGATGACACCTTTTTTTCCTCACATGGGTATGTGGAATAGCTGTTCTATGAACTTTCAGGACAAAGCACCTATTTCACAGTTCTTTGCAATGGAAGGTAAAGGGTGAGACACCCCCGCGTGAAGCAGGAACTCCCTTTCTGTGTTTTCCTATATTCCTATGCAAAGCTGACCTACGGTGGATACAGAAATAAACAGAATAAACCCAGCTTCAAAATGAGTTAGCTGCTTTTATGAACTATGAACTGCTCAAAAATCAAGTTCTTCTTCTGCGGGAATGGAAGATATCCCCTGTTTTACAGAGGCCGTTTACAGTTGCAAGTGAAAAAAAGAAATTGGTTATCTTT